AATATTAAGCGATGCTTCTTTATAAATAGATAATTGTTTCCTTTATTATTTACAATTACCTTTTAACCCACACTTAAACGTATACGAATACTTTATGTAAGTCGTTTATAAACAATAGGACTCTTTGGTGTAAAGTTGTAGCGAAAAATAAAATTATATTCACACAAATTTAGGCAATATCGATTCAGTTAAATAAAGAGATAATCGTCAGCGGAAAATCCATAAAATGAAGTGAACACTGTGAACACATTTGGGGTTTAATATTTAGGGTAACCATTTACAGACGAGGGTGCGAAAAAATATAGAGGGCAGAACGGCATTGCATTACGTGGAAAAGGGCCCTGTGAAAACAATGATGATATTCGTGAAAAAAATAAAACCTTAAGTCAATTAACAGAAACATTCCTTAGGAACAATCGGTTAATGATAAATTGAAGTAATGGTTGTAAAAGTGACTCGATTTCTATATTGCTCTCTCTACTATTTGCTTGACGGTTAGCTTACACAACAAAGAAAGTTAATATAGGTACGCATGCGGGGCACATTAACTTTCGCTGTTTGTAGCATTTGTGTCCAATTGATATTAACAAACTATACGAAAGATAACTACGTGCATAGTAGCGCTGAACAAAATGAGGTTAGAATGAATAAATAAGGATCATAATACTTGTTGACATTCATTTACATTATTAATTTGCATACCTGTTTTCTTAAATACTAAATCAAATAACGACTGAAACGACGGAAAGTCCTTCGGCGAACATAGCAAAATAAACTAGTTCCGCGTTGACTCCAACAACTAAAATAGCTCACCTAGCTAAGGCCATAATGTGTCTGTATAATCCAATTTTCGAAATCTGTGGCAGCACTTCGTGTACACAAATCACCACGCGTGTATATGTTGAATGTAAGAGTTCACAATGTACGGAATGGGATCACGTTTGACAGTTTCACTTCACCGCATGGTTGGTTGGTCGCGCTTGTCAGCGTGACAGACGTCCGAACCGATCAACGTATGACGGGCGACTGATCGCATTCGCGTAGCAGTGGCGCGTTGTTGCCCGCGGGGCTTGCGAGGGCGGAGCGCCCGGCCGTTTCCAGCGCGCCCGCGGGACAGCTGCGCGGAGCGCGGACCCTTTCTCTGCTTTGCACCGTCTCCATTGTACCGGTGAAAGCTTAAGCCCCTTTCCATGCTGATCGTAATACTCGGCTTAGCATAATGAAACTATGAGTCGCTAAAACCTTTTAGTAGCACTACTACAGCTAAGAGAACTTCCTGAAAGCTCTGTAGTATTTTAAAATATATAAGTTTTAAGCGCTTATTCATGGTCGATTTTATGGGGAAAAACACGTAAACAATCGAACTGGTAAACTCCGCAGTGACACACATTGAAGACGTACGAAAGGACTAAACAATTTTAGTCCTTAGACTAAGAGGCGATTATGGGTGCTATAAAGATATGACCTCTGATAGATTTTAGAATAATATAACAGATGTAAACAAGAACAGCTTTAAAGAAAAAACAGTTACGGGATTAAAAAAAAAAGAATGTAGAAGAAAAGCACTCGATGTTATAAAACTGAGCCTTTGTATTATAAAACATACATAATTTAATTAGTATCATTGTCTCAATCCCTCCGTGGGCACAGAAGACAGGTCATCAGTGATAGAATCGACAAGAATGTTTGCCAAGTTTGGCAGGCGGATAGATGATCGCTATACCATATACCGTTTTCTCCGTAGACCGTATGGATAAAGCATATTTTATCATATTATTTTTTTTTTTTGGTGTCATATCTTCGTGTTTTTCATCACACTTCTTGTCCTGGATAATGCTCCAGGACATGTCATGCTTACAGGACAAATTACGTATAATCATATAGCAATGTACAAAAATGTTTTTGCCTGCCAACAATACGTACTTATTCAACAAATAGACCAAAAGGTAATTCAAATGATGAAGAGAAATTTAAAAAAAAATGCGATAGGTACGTAGAGAAGAAAACATTTCTAAAATTTATTTGAATACCAAAGAAACAGTGTTTACTGTTACTGTTTGCATATAAGCGACTAATGAAGAAGGCATATGCAGATAACATTGCCGACATTCATTACACAAATCAGATGTTGCTTTACTCAATCTGGTACCAACGGTAGTAAAATAGTCATGTCTTCTGGGAACAAGACAACCACAGAGGACCAGCCTATACTAGGTTCAACATCAGTACTTGAGATTAATGATGGATTTGGACATAATAGAACTAAATAAATTGAGTAAATAATAATAAATATCCGGATATGCATGACGAAATTGATAACGCTACATCATAATTCGATTTTGTTTCCCGAATCGAACTGGTTCGGAAGAAAGCTTTTGAATACAGAATCGAAAAAGGTGATATCAAATCGTAAACCGAATTGAATTCGATTCAATTTTGGAGGTAAGCCAACCAACAAAACGGCAACCCAGTAAACAGGGGCTCATCTCAGTAATGTGCTACACAGACGATGATTGACATTGTGATTATTTTTACAGTACAAGTTACGAGCTTCACTGTCTGGAATGTTTGTGATGATCTAATTATGTTCAAGCAGAAAATATTCAGAAGAAAGTACGTCTACTCTAAGCACGTGTTGTGAAATCTTTTGTAAACTGTCCAAATATAGCCCTAGACTTAAAAGTATATAGGCCAAAGAAAAAATATCCGAATAAGTCGAACAAAGGTTAGTTTCGTTACTTTAAGACAGTGCCTGTGCGATTTACCATCTAGGCCTTCATCACCACCTACCCCCAGGTGGGATTGTGTCAAGCACTGGCTTATAATAAGTAAAAAAATGCTTATTATGGCTTAGTTCAGTCTCATCAGAAAATTTAATTAATTAATTAATTTTAACTATTTTTACGACGACGTTTCGGGTGCTTTCCAGCACCCATGCTCACGGGAGACTGAGATGACTGACGTCCCGATGTCACTGTTTAACCCGGAGTACCTTCAGCTTTTTAAATTATTGTGTATGGTCCGATCTATGCAAAATGAACTCACTATGTCTTGAAGTCTTGCAGTGAGGTTGGTTTGGTTTTTGTTGGGTTTATTTTTAATTTTATTGATTATATGGTGACCAGCAGTTAAGGACCTTCACTGCTGGCCGTATAAAGACGTTCAAAGTCACTCAGCGAGCTATGGAGAAGGCTATGCTCGGGGTTTCTCTGCGTGATAAACTTAGAAATGAGGATATCCGCAGTAGAACCAGAATGACCGACATAGCCCAACGGATTAGTAAGTTGAAGTGGCAATAGGCCGGTCATATAGCTCGAAGAACCGACAGTTGTTGGGGAAAAAAGGTTCTCGAGTGGCAGCCTCGGGCGACCCCCCACTAGATGGAGTGACGACCTGGTAAGACATGCAGGAAGTCGATGGATGCAGGTGGCTCAGGACCGTGCTTTGTGGCATACCTTGGGGAAGGCCTATGTTCAGCAGTGGACTTGTAAAAGGCTGAAATGATGATGATGATGATGATTATAGGGTCCCAAGCAGGTGGTAGTAACCAGCCTCCTCCTCTATTGAAATTAGGATTTTTTTTAATTTTAATAGCCTCACGTATCATCCTTGGTAGGAATCGGTGTTCTTTCGCGAGGATTTGTGGTCTTTCAAATCTGATGTAATGGTTGGGGCCGTCTAGGATATGATGATCACAAACTGCAGAATTCCCGGAACGTTGATGCTTCACATCAGCTATATTTGTTGTATGTGAAATGTAAAAGTAGTTTTAATTAATGTGTTCGCGTAGCAGCCCAGAGTCAGGTTATTGATTAGGGAACGGAAGCACGTTAACCCGTTGTTCCTGCGCCGCTAGTCGTATTGGAATGCCGTCCCATCGAATTTTGAGAGTGAGAAAATAAACAGTTTGCATGTATTTTCGCACATATTCGGCACTATAATCCTGACCTGCGCAGATAGCTAGTCTTCGCTGAGACTGACCGTCGTGAGCGGAATTCGGTTTGAAGGACATTATTACGGCATAAAAAAAAGCATAAAAAAGTAAAATTTGGTGCACTATTAACTTCTCACATATAAAGGAATCATCATATCTAACTAAATTAAGCTTCACAAAAGCTGCTACATTTGTTTGAGTTAATTTACGTTCGATTTTATAGCACATTACATTAAAAATATTATTTGTAGTGCAACAATCCAATCTTGACTCGCACGATGTTCACAAACTGAGAAAGCTCCTATCACACAGTGAAAACCCTACGGGCGACGTCATAGCTGTCACGCATATTTTAATGTAGCTTTCAAAAACGCGCGAAAATGAAACTAACTACACGATTGTGAAAGTAACATGCACGATCAGAAATCGTAAGATTTTAAAGGATATGGCTGGATATCGTCAAGCAATGCTCAGATTAATAATAATGGACTTAACGAAAAAGAAGAAAACAATGTTTTGGAAACATTACGCTGCAGTGAAAGTGCATCGTGGTGATTGTAATCGCGCAGCATTCAGAACATTTTCAGCAGCGCAAGAAGCGGACGAGAAAGCGCCAAAAAGCGGGAGATGGTGAAGTAAAAATTTGAAAGCCGCCACACAATGGCGCGTTGTCGAAATTGGAAAGTTGAGTGGTGCGCGTCGATTGCATAACCGCTCTTACGGGTGGCGGGCGGTGTGACTCTGACGAAAGGCTGATGTGACGTCATGCCACGAAAGTGCATCGGCCGGCCCCCTCCAGGGGCGGCTGCACGTGCGCTGCAACTGCGCTTCCTGTATGTGGGGCTTTCTATTGGGAAACTGCCATAACGAGCCCTCTCTCCTAGCTATTGGGAAATTTGTCTCACACGCAGTGAGCGATGCAAGCGAGATGCATCTGATTGAGCAACAAACGACACAGTTCACTTTGCCGTGCGCTTACACAACAGAAAAAAAGCGGCGTTTGTTTTAATCTTAGATGCGATTTTACCATTTCCCTATATCCTACGTATAAAAATATTGTACTTACACTTTTAAAACGCGACTTGCGCGAGATGCCTGAAACAAAAATACATTGTATATTAATTAACATAAAGTTACAGCCTATACGTTCGTCCCACAACTGGACACAGGCCTCTCTCTCATTTCCGAGAGATTCTAGGGCAAGGAAGGAAATAATAATTAATAAAGTAATAAACTTTTAATAGCATGCTGACTGACTGCATATTTTCTGGATTTTATTGTAAAACCGTATACGAGGTAAGTGGTATAACTAGCTGGTGCTTGTTACTAATATTTACAGAATATAGATTACTATTTTTAATAGAATTATTTTTGTTCTCGTGTACATACATTAAATTTTCGTAAATATATTGTGCCAAAGTTAATATTATATTTATATTTTATAATTTTTCTCTAAGTGTTTAGATTATAAATTACTCTTTTGGCTCTGTTATATAAGTACGAGGGGTGATCCAAAAGTAATGATAATCGGTTACTTCAGGTCCGCATAAAAATCCAAAAAAAATTTTTTTTGCTTGCTTATATACTCACTACGTCAGCCTAAAAAAATCATATAAATAGATCACGATTTCCGGGAGATACATTCATTTGAATACGAACTGTCAAAGAGATAACATCAACATGGAGAAAAACGAAATTAGAGCTGTCACCAAGTACCTCTGTTTGAAAAAAATGTCTTCAAAAGACATACACAGTGACTTAGTGGAAACATTGGGGGACTCTGCTCCTCCATATTCTACAGTTGCACGCTGGGCCAAGGAGTTTAAACTGAGCAGAACTTCCACTGAAGATGAACATCGCGAAGGACGCCCATCTACGTCCCTCACTGAAGACAACGTGAAAAAAGTCGAAGATGTTGTGTTGGCAGATCGAAGAGCGACATCAGGCATGTAGCTGAGGTCACAGGGATCTCATATGGCAGCGTTCAAAGAATCCTTGAAAGGTTGCATAAAAATGTCTCTGCGCGTTGGGTACCCAGAATGTTAACCGACGAGCAAAAGAAAAATCGAGTTGACATTTCGAGGGTCAATCTCGAAAAGTTCCAAGCAGATCAAGAAAATTTTTTGTTCCGTTTTGTGACTATGGACGAGACCTGGATCCACCATTTTGATCCTGAAACGAAACAACAATCGATGACTTGGAAGCGAGCCACCTCACCGACGCCAAAGAAATTCAAAGTTTCAAGTTCGGCGGGAAAGGTTATGGCATCTGTTTTTTGGGACGCTCAAGGCATAATTATGGTGGAATATTTGGAAAAGGGAGCCACTATTACGGGCTCTTACTACGCAGACCAAATAAGAAGATTACGGGAGGCCATTAAGGAAAAAAGACGCGGCAAACTGCGAGCTGGAGTGCTGTTTCACCAAAACAACGCACCGGCTCACAAAGCCGCAGTTGCGATGGCTGCCATTCAAGAAACGGGATTCGAACTGCTCGAACACCCTCCCTATTCGCCAGATCTAGCTCATAGTGACTTCTAACTCTTTCCTCGGCTTAAGGACCGCCTCCGAGGCAAGAAATTCGAAGACGATAGCGAAGTAATGGCCGCTGTTGAAGCGTTTTGGGAGGGTCAAGACAAAGAATTTTTTTCAAAGGGAATCCTGGGTTTAGAAAAAAGATGGACTAAATGTACTGATTTGTTAGGAGACTATGCAGAAAAATAAATTATTATTTTAACTTTAATTACCATGTTTTATTTTCATTATCATTACTTTTGGATCAACCCTCGTATAATATAAACTATAAACATATTGTCTATATATTAACATACACTATAGGTATAGATTTTTTACATTATATGTATGTATATAATAAAATGTAATTACACCTGCTGCAAAATCTCATCATTCCACGGATTGACTGGCAAATAATGCTGATAGGCATTAAGTCTGCCCTTTGTTACCCTATTTATTAAGGTGTTAACAATGAGGATTAAATAAATAAATAATAATAAAGTAGCACGATATTATTCGCTAAAGGGTATCAATTTTTAAATATGTGTAGTTTAATTTTTGTTTTAGGTAAGTTTTTATATAAAGTTTTATATAAGATGCGCACAGTATGCAATACTCAACGAATAACACCTCCACGCCGCATGCCAGCTAGCGAGCGATTGCGCTCAACTGACACTTAGAAGCTAGTATTGCCATTTGCCAGACATTACCGTGTAGTGGCGGTGTAAGAATATCCACTACCCCATATCGTCTCGAGGATGTCATATTAGGCGTCAGAGGAAAATGAAACAGGAGATGATAACAACTAATTAAAAAATGCGGTTGACAATCTGTTTTGCAAACGTGGCAACTATGGCAAAATCCCCCCAAAAGACAATCTATGAGGGAGGCCAATGTTTAGTAGTGGACTTTTATAGGCTGTAATAATGGTATAGTTAATTAAAGTTAAATAGGTGTAAAATGTTAAGAGTCTAAATTGGTAGCGCATTATTTTATCGGATTTAATACCTAGGTCAAACGAATGTGCGATGTTCAAATCAATTGTATATTGAGCTGTTTCTCATTACAAGCTTGAAATCTATGTTACACACCTTGACACTGTTTGGGTTACCTTAATATACCTAATAACAATAAAAGTAGTAATTTATTGGTACGATAGAAATATAGACATTGTTCAAGCACGGCATAATATAGAAATTTAGGGTTCCTTTTACGAACTGTTCGTACTTTCACAAATGTAGCAGCCATTATCGCCTTATACAACGCTTTAGTGAGAAGCCAATTGGAATGCAACGCAGTCATCTGGGCTCCGCATGAGACTAAATATAGTCTCATGTTGGAGCGGATACAAAACAAATTTACTAGGTTTTTATATTTTAGGCTATATGGAGTGTATCCTTTTTATCCTATTATGTATCCAACTTTGTTTGTGTTGGGCATGGTGGGATACAACGAACTACGAGTCAGGCGGGAGCTCACGCTTGTGTCATATTTATTTAAGTTAATTAGGGGTAAGGTACATCACGCAGATATATTATGTTTACTGTGTTTGTGTGTGCCGGACAGATATGTGTGGCGACGACGTCGGCCTCACCTGCTGGCCGTACCTCGTGGTCGCACTAATTTATTGAACGAGGCGCCGCTGACACGGGCACTTCGCACTCTCAACCTTGTAGCAGAGGAGACAGATATTTTTATTTGTACGCCGAATGAGTTCACAAGGATAGCATTATATGTTATTTGTTATAAGTAGGTATTTGTTATAAGTATATATATGTTTACTGATGTGTGCTTCACTATCGAATTAGGTAGTAACCTGTAATGATAGTTGTAAGTTGTGATTGAAAATAAATAAATAAATAAATAAATAATATAGGTTTGTTACGTGAAGGATCCTAAGAAAATTCTTAGTTTTAGCATTTACCACAGGAGTTATTACAATGACCGCTTTATAACAATGGTATTACTTACTGTCCAAAAGTCACGCGGATTGACCAATAAGTAAGAGTTAAAAAAATTGAGGTCTCCACTATGCGGGACGCTCCTCAAAGGAGTTCATGGTTGAATGGAACATGTACAGTGTTCAAGCTGCATTTAACGTCTTAAAATATGTCTTCTAACACAACTATAAGGTGTATTATTCAATAACGCGTTTACAGTAGTTCCTTATTGTCGGATTGAGAACGCCTGTGATTGGTTTAATCGATTTTATCTCTAACTACTATTATGATAAGGTTGCATCTTGTATGTAACACAGCGGCATTCAAGAAGTAGGTTGACATAACTCACACTTGTATATCACAAAGATTCATGAACTATTCGGTGCGAGATTTTCTGCAATCAATAATGAACCTTATATTTTACACAGTAACACAATAAATATTTATTTGTAGATTATTTGCAATTTCGATATAAAACCATGTCGTGGATATTCGAATATTATTTGAATTATTAAGTATTTGAAGGATCGGAAAATATACCCAAACTATTCATTTTTTAAATAGTGCTTATGCACAATTGAATTAAAAAGCAACTAGGTTAGTGGGAATTATTTCTGCTTGTTTTATTTCAACTTTAAAGAGTGAGCAACAAGTAAAATAAATATATTAGTGAGAAATGCGGTTTATATATAAAAGTGTAATGTTTTCTTAAATCTAAGACTGATATAATTTCTATAAGTAAAAGGTACTTTTGTGAAAGTTACTAAAACCTCTCAGTAAATTAAAACGCGGTTCAAAAGCAATGTTCGAATACGAGTTTCCTAGGTAATAAATAGAATCAGAAAAGCGAGTGGCTCGTGCACTTTCTAGTGAAACAGTAAGCAAAAGTTACGATATCTCGGGTGATATAATAACAGTTAGTGTGGCGCCTGCGCCCATGTTCTTGGTACCAACACTACAGTGTACTATAAAATATTGCAATTTGCGATTACTTTCCCAAAAGACAAGAGTCTAAAGTTAACATGGAGTTTTAATAGAATTTGTAACATTTCAAATTCAAAAATGATTATTCTGTAATAATAAATTTACAATCATAGCAGTATATTAGAGTTCTCCTTTTAAGTATTTTTAAATACATGTGACAGGAAAAACTCGCTCTTCTTTAATTAAAATACAATACTTTAGTTACAAGAGTAGCATAATATTCCTTTCCTAAAATAATTATGAAAAAATATGAAGACGTGTGCGCGCGCATATGTGTGTGTGTGCGTGCGTGCGTGCGTGCGTGCGTGCGTGCGTGCGTGTGTGTGTGTGTGCGTGTGTGTGTGCGTGTGTGTGTGTGTGTGTGGTGTGTGTGTGCGTGTGTGTGTGTGTGTGTGTGTAGCCGTGTTATTTTAACAAATTTTCTATTTCGTGATAGTCTTTCGATTTGAGCCATTCAATGAGAATTACCTTACATTCTTTACTTGTTTTAGAATAAATATTCAACATTTATTTAATAAAAACGACGGTACACAAAAGTTTTTGTTCAAACTAACCGCCAAGGTCTCCCCCTTGGGATCGACTGCCTCCGACCATAGGTAAACTAGAGATCACCAGCTAAACGTCCCCGACAGAAGCCGACGGACGGTATCGCATGGGC